AAGGGCTAATTGACACGCTTCATTAGCCCGCTCGGGGTTGCGCGTGCGTAGCGGCGCGCGTTGCTTGCTCGGGCCTGGTCATCGATCTCCGGGGCCGTTCGTGGCCCCAGCTGATCGGCGCGGCCGCGACGTGCGCTCGGGTCCGCTCGGCGGTCTCCGGGGCCGTTCGTGGCCCCGGCCGAGCGGCGCGTCTGGCTCGCGGTCGCGACGCGCGTTCGGACCCGCTCGGCGGTTTCCGGGGCCGTTCGTGGCCCCGGCCGGGCGGTCGGCGCGCCGGTGTATCGGAGTCTTATGAGGCGCTATACGCCTGCGTCTCGCCCGACGGGTGATCGGTCGGGCGGCATCCGGCGGGTGGAATGCCGGGAACGGTGCAAGGGGGGGTGCATCGTTACAGCTTATTATGGATACGACTGCTATGAAACGCTTTGCAACGTAACCACATTTTTGTCGAATGGACCTTTCGTAGTCATCGATTGCGTGCGACAGAACGAGTCTATCAAGGGCGCTACTGTGGATGTGCGCATAGAATTTGATTGCAAGGGGAATGTGCCTGCAAATACTACTGCCTTCTGTCTCATCTTGCACGATCGTGTCATCGAATACTGCCCATTGTCCAATATAGTGCGCAAAATCATGTAAATTGCAATGTCGACAGTATTCCAATATAAGAAAGATTCATGTATCGTGATGAGGTGCAGTCTCAAAGGTGTTGTCATGACTACACCAACGTTTGTCGATCTGCAAGGTTTCATCGTTGGCAAAAACTCCTCCGTCGTGAAGGAGTTTGCCGCTCTCAGAGAAGGATATATTCTCTCTCATCATATCTTCAAAAGCCCCGAGCCATGGAATTTTCTCAGCACAGCGGATAAGCAGCGCGTATCCTGGGTGACGGTCAACCATCACGGATTGCAATGGGACGATGGAACGGTTCGATACTACAATGCTAAAGACCTGATTACAAGGGCGTTGAGGACGGTGACGGAGAATGAAACTTTGCCCATCGTTTACGTAAAGGGGCTTGAAAAACAAGAATGGTTGCGGGATTTGCTTCAGGACGACGCGAGAGAGGATGTCTACGTCGAGAGCATCGACGAGCACTACGAAGACGTGGAATCGTTGAAAAAGATGGACGCTACACATACTTTACGTTGCCACAAACATGTATCGAATTGCGCTTTGCAAAATGTATTTAAACTGTTTAATTGGTGGCACTGTCATAAAAAATAAATGTATATTATCTATATTATGTATCGATTTTTTTCTTATTCCCACCCTGCTGAAACACTCCCAAATTGATAAGGAAGTCGCCGTCAGCAACCTAGTTTCATCGCTTGATCTTGTACCATGGAAAATAATACGCGCTAATCAAAGGCATCCCGGTGATATCTATTCGGGTAATAACGTATCGACAGCACCGATGAAAAGAATAGCAACTGTTTAGAAATTTAGAAACTCTGTATCTATTCAGGCGAATTAAGGCCTGTGTCCATGATGCTAGTACTTGGTCCAAGTTCTAATTTCGCGAAATATGTAGCCAATCAATATAGCTGTTCCACAAAAGCTGCTAGTTGATTGGCTACGCATTTCTCAAAAGGAAGAAATTAGGGCTTGCATTAACATGAGGAATCGACTGCAAGCAGTAATTGAACAACGCGGAGGAAACACGCGTTTTTTAAATTTTAACACACACACACACACACACAAGTGAGAGGCAAGGGGACTCACTTTAATCAAGCACCCCGAAAATGAGTCATTCTATACACACACGCACACACGCACACGCACACGCACACGCACACGCACGCGCACGCGCACACACAGACAGACACACACACACACAAACGGCTCTTTTCAGGGGTGCACATCGGGTAATGCCAATACCGGCGGTATATGCCAATAATGCAAGGGTTACTTTAAAGTACTGTGTCCTTGCGAAAAAAATGGTAGCGACTCGTTTTTTTTTAAATTGAAGAGGAAGGTTTGTACTTTATGTTCCTGCAAACAGTATCCCCGAAAAAAATGTACCTAGCCCATGCACTCCGTCAAACTTTGCAATTTTCAATATAACAAACATACCCTCACATTTAAGGTGTTACAGTGGTAGGGATGCATCACACCTAAAAAATAACTATAGTATCTTAAAGTAGAGATTTCACGCTTTCATTAAAAAAAAGAACATAATTTTACGATGATTTTTCGCGGAGTTACCGTCAGTCAAAGTTGACCAATTTTTGCTTAAAATTTTTCTATGCCATATTTCTTTTGAGCAGTGTATTAAGGAGGTTGCTCAGTGTCCTTGCGGGGCAGGCGGTAAGGGGGAAACGCCTATGCTTATACACGGGCACCTCTAACAGCTGCCAACTTCGAAATATCAAATTTTTAGTTGCGCAAGATAAACAAATTTTGGATAAAAAGTATGTGGAATCGTTATAATTAATTGTTTAAATATGTTACGAATCGATCTTTGTTTATTTGTATCTCGAAAATATTATATACAGAGTTGAGATGTGGCACACGCGCAACGTAATTTTTAGTTGATGGTAGCCCTGCGTGCACGCCGCACGCCGCACGGTCGCCGGCTTCGGCACTCCGCCGCATGCTTTCGTTACCGGTCAGCTGTCAATTTAGTGCTCGAATTTAGTTTTGGTGTTTGGCGAAAATGAAACGATGGAAAAGGAAAAATTCAATCCGGAAAACAATACGATCGTCGGCTAAAACAAGTGGAAGGTGGTAAGCAGCGAAAGAAAATTCAGAAAATGAATTCGCAATCGAGGGCCGACGTATCGTCGATTTGACGGTTATAGCGACGTTGCCACGCGTCGTACTGTGCGTT